GCCCTTCTCCTCCCATCCACTGGCCTGCTGGCTCCCGGGGTTTCCTTCCAAAAATAGCCCTGGGAGTGTCACACCCCTGCTTCACAGCCGTCACTGGATCCCTATTGCTAAGGGAGTAAGATTGGAGTTCCTGGGCTGGCATTCAAGGCCGTGGGATAGGCACTCTCCCCAAGCCCCCGGCACTCCGAGCGGCTTCCCTCTGCCTGCTCTCCACTGCCGACAGGTGTGGGGCCAGCTGTCAACAGAACCTTTCCAAGATGCCTCAGTTTCCTCATCAGCAAAATGAAGGCGGTTAAGCCCTTGAGAACTTGGAAGACACATAGAAGAAACTCCTCCTGTGTTGAGGACACTTAGCACATGTGGTGCGTCCCCTATTTACAGATGAGAAAACTGAGGCTCTGAGGGAGAGGTTCGGCCCAGATGTGGCAGAGCCAGGATTAAAACGCAGACCTTCCACCCTCTATGAGGGACATCATGTGACCCCAGCCGGCTTGGACGCTGCTTTTCAGTGAGGCTCCTTGGCTGCTCCCCTCGCCCCGCATCTTGTTTGCTCTCCTCCACTGCTTTGAAGGGTCGTGTCCCTTCAAAGCATAGTCATAGTTCTTGAGAAGTTTGAATTTAATTATTAATAGCAACACTTTTTCTGGGAAATTTTTTGACTATAAAAAGTGCACCATTCCCAGCTGCACAGCTTGATGACTTTTCCTAAACCCAAGGCCACTGTGAGCAGCCACAGAGGCCCCGCTGGGTGCCTCCCACCTCACCCTGCCCCACAAGTTAGCCCTCACCCTGACTTTTAGCTCCATAGAGGGTTTTATCAAAAATGTTTTGGGCCTTGATTCCAGGTTCTCAGGTTCAGATGCCCCCAGAGGCCTGAGGGGATCTTGCATGACGGGAGGGCCCGGTGGGACGGTGGCACCTGATGCCCCTGGCTGGGACCTCTGCCAGTGATTGCCAGGCCAAAGCATGGCTTGGTGTTGGCAGGCCACTGGATCTTACAAGAGAAGCTAGAAGTCCAGATTTTTATGTGAAATCTCATGATTATTGAACATTGGCAACTAATTAAAATTTAAAACATGGGGGAGGCCAGCTCCATCCGGGCCAAACAAGAACTGCTTATGGACCAAACACAGCCTGTTGGCCGCCAGCAGGGTGACCAGGAAGGGCCCCCAGGCCTGTGAGGGAGACAGGCATGAACACAAACATCACAGCTCAGCGGAGGGCTGCCTGGGGAAGCGGGGCTCTGCAGTGGGGGGTGTTCACAAACACTCTGAGGGACACGTGATTCAGGCAGAGCGAGGGCACTCCAGGAAGAGGGAGGAAGGCAGGTGGCAGCCTGGAGGAGCCCTCTGCACACAGCGTGGTCAGGAGTGCACTGTGATTGGGTGTGGTGGTGGGAGGGGCAGGAAGAGGCCCTGAAGATGTGGCCTCGCCAGTCTTGTACGGCATTTGGACTGCGTCTGGGGGCAGGTGATGGAGAGTGCTTGGAGGGGGGTAAGCAGAAGCACACTGAGCTAATCTCTCCGGCTCCAAGTTCAGGGGAGGAGAGATGGGCAGAGGGCAGGCTGGGGACAGGAGGCAGGAGGCAGGAGACAGGAGGCCTTGGCCTATGGCATTGGCTAAAGAGACGGAAACCACCGCAGACCCACATTTTGGGCCTCCTAAACAACCCCCATCCCCACTGACCCCCAGCAAAGACTGTCCTTCACCAAACCCAAGTCAGGCCTCTCTGAGCCCTGTGCTCCACCAGGCCCGGCCCCAGGCTATGCCCTCGGTCCACTGGGTCCAGTTTTAGAGGGAATCCTATGGGGTCAATTCAGTAAGAATCCCTCACCCTTGAAACCCAGATTCCTCATCTCCCACTTGCAGTGTCTGATCCCCCTGGGCTGCCGTCAGCAAGAGTCCTGTTAGGTTGTGACAGCTACCTGCCCCCTGACCCCCGACATTCCCTCCCAGTCATTTTCCACCCACCTACCCCACCCTACCCCTCCGTTATAAATCCTGTGTTGTTGCTGTACTCGGAGCTGATCCCACCTCTCTCCCCTACAGCAAAATTTCATGCAGAGGTACTTTAGGAAAAGTCTACCTCCTGTCTTTAGCAAGTATCATGAATTATTTTTTTAACTCCTCTCTACACCCAAGGCACTTCGAACTGCATGGTTATTTGAATATAAAAAACCCTACACTGAAGAGTTTGGACGCAGTAGTTGGCGCCCCCCAGTGGTATGCTTTCCACCCCGGCCTTGTCTTGGGCTTGAGTGGAGGGCCCAGCACAAATCAGTCAGGACTTCTGATCTTCCCCGCACCCCCAGAGCTGCTCCTCCAAGGCCTCCTACCTTAGCCACTGGCAGCTCTGTGCTTGCAGGTGCTCCTGCCAGACACTTCAAGGTCATATTTCACACCCCAGGCTTGATCCTTGATCAAATCCTGCTGGACCTGCCTTTAAAACTGCCCCAGAGCCTCACCTACCATTGCCATTCCTCTGGTCTGAGCTGCTGGTGTTACTTGCCCAATTCGCTTACTAGCCCTTAGCTGTCTCTATGTCGCCATTGCTCTTAACCCAGCAGCTGGAGTGGTCCTGTTATACCCTACATGAGGTCCCGTCTCCCTCTGCTCAGAATCTCCCAGGCTTCCACATTTGCCCCACGAAGAGCAAATGCCAGAATCCTTGGCTGTGGCCACAACCTGTCCCCTCCCCACCACCTCTCCAATCTCATATTCTGCTCCTCTCCCCCTGCCCACCGCTCTCAGTTACCCCCACCGCTTCCTGGAACATTGCTCCGGGGACAGCCCTCCGGCTTGCTTCCACCCCCTTTCAAGTCTTTGCTTCAATGTCACCTTCTCCGTGCGGCCTCCTTGAAATCTCACTTAAAATCACAACCTGCTCCCTTCACGTCTGCCCACCTCCCTGCTTCGTTCTTCTCCCTGGCTCTTGACACCTGCACACTTTACAACATCCTTATTCCTGTCGTTTGTGTTCGTCTTTCTCTAGTGGGTGGTCCGTGAGTGGAACAGTGTCTTAGACAGGAATTTCAAACCCCTCTCCGTCTTCCTCTGGGTGTTTTTTTGAGAGTGTGGCCCCAGGACATATTTCACGTGGGCTCCCCTGGCTTTGGACACACAGAACAGGGCTCCCAGCCTGTGGGTCCTGCCCACCCATGCACACGAACCACTCACTGTCTCAAGCCCACAGCTGAGGGACTGGTTTTCAGATGTGTACAGATATTCCTATGATAAATGTTGCACGCCTGTTTAAAGATGTTACTGAACTCCTCATAGCTGTTTGGCCATAATATATTTTCTCTGTCAACCAATACCCAGCTGCCACTGTTATTGCACAGAGGGCCCTCTCCAAATAGCTGGAATGCATTGCCTTCCAACTATTAGAAAAGGGGTCTAATAAATAAGTCCGGAGACCCCTGGCCACCCTTTCATAGGGTTCCTGCCAGGCACATGGCCCACAATCCCTCTCTCCTACCCCCAGGCAGAGTAGCAGCAGCTGACGGGGAACACGAGCTCACCCACCAGAGTAAGGCAATTCACAATCCCTTAACCTTGAGTTCCACAAGCCTGCCACTCCACAAGCTGCAGCTTCTTGGAGCAGTTCTCGGCTTGGGCAGAAGTGAAATGAGCTCTTGCAATCAACATGCAATTAGTGGTTGCACATCTTGGGCATCAGGGCCATGCATGGGGTGGAGGGGTGTGCGTGTGAGGGCGGTCAGGGAACACGGTGCAGAGGTGTGGATGGGGGCACTCACAGTTAGGCAATCCCGCCTCACACAAGAGATCTGAAAAGGCTCATGTGGGCTTGGTCGACTGCTCTTGGCTCATATGTTAATAAACAGCATTTGTTGAGTGCCTACTGCCAAAATGCTTTTTACAGGCATGATCCCAACAGCTGTTGGGATCTTCAACAGCAAGATCCTCCTTTTTGTGGGTAAGACAATTGAGGCTCAAAGAAGTTAAGTGACTTTTTCAAAGCCCACAGCAGGTCGAGCCCCAGGTTGGCCTGATCCCAAAGTCAGTATTCTTGGACCATTTTGTCCCCACCCCAACTTGGAAGATGCTGGGTTGGATGCCTCTGAAGGACATCCTGCCTGGTTAACCAACTTCGTGTCCTTCTTGGGTCATGCTGCTCAGGACCCCAGGTGAGGGTGGCTTGTGTGGGGAAGCCCCGTTTGTCACACTCAACCCTTGGCATACGGTGTGGGGCGCTTCTTTGCCACCCTTCCTGTTCTTCCTGTTGTTCCACCCCGAGATGGGGACCCCAGCTGACTGCAGCTGGGTCCTGCCAGAGGAGCCGTTCCCCTTGGCTCACAGGGCCTGTGCCTTCTTGGGCAGCCCCCAGGGGAAGCACAAGCCCTCAGTCTCTACAAGTCTCATTCCTGGTGGGACACTCCTCCTGGCCCATCTGGCAACTCTGTACAGAGGTGCAGCATGAGGCATTCCTTCCAGAGGGTCCAGCAGCTTTCTGGCTGGCGGGTGCCCAGCAAACTGCAGCTCAGACCCTTCCCGGGACAGTGTCCTGCTTGTCCATGTCCCTCGTGGGGAGCCTCAGCAGGCTCTGCCCTTGTCTCCCGCGGACAGGGCCTGTCTGGGTCTTAGAGTGCCTCCTCCTGGCCGGTTTGGTTGCCCCACATACCCCGTGGGAAACCTCTTTCTCCGAGAGCGCCTTGCCAGTCGTTCTCCTTGCTTCTCAGACCCTCCACTCTGGTGCCGGTCGCTTTCGGGGGCGTCCCTTCTCGCCTGGAACCCCGCCCTCTCGGGGCGCTCCCCCTCCCGCCCCCTCTCCCCCCCACACCCCGTGAGGGCGGGCGCTGGAACACTGTCGCCAGCCGCCTGCAGGTGTCTCCGCACGGAGGAGCGCGCGTCCCTGCGCCGCGGCCGCTGCCCGGCGCCAGCGACTCCTTGCTGAGGGGCACTCGCGCTCCGGGCTCCGGGAGCGCAGGATCCTCTCTGCCGCCGCCGACGGCCCCCAGCGCCGCGCCCCCACCCGCGGGGAGTGTCATGGGCCCGCGCCGCGCCCACCGCTGCCGATCGCAGGCGCCCGAGCCCCGGGGCCCGGCGTGCAGCAGCCGCTGACGCGGGGCGCCGGCTGCCAACTTCGCGCGCGGAGCTCCCCGGCGGCGCGGTCCTGGCGGCGCGGGCGGCATGAAGACGAGCCGCCGCGGCCGAGCGCTCATGGCCGTGGCCCTGAACCTGCTGGCGCTGCTCTTCGCCACTACCGCCTTCCTCACCACGCACTGGTGCCAGGGCACGCAGCGGGTGCCCAAGCCCGGCTGCGGCCAGGGCGGGCGCGCCAACTGCCCCAACTCGGGCGCCAACGCCACAGCCAACGGCACCGCCACCCCTGCCGCCGCCGCCGCCGCCGCCGCGGGGAACGGCCCCCCTGGCGGCGCGCTCTACAGCTGGGAGACGGGAGACGACCGATTCCTCTTCAGGAATTTCCACACCGGCATCTGGTACTCCTGCGAGGAGGAGGTCGGCGGGCTCGGTGAGTGAGCGGCGGCGTTCGCGGGCTCGGCTCCCGGCTCCCCGGCTGCGCGGCCCCGGAGGCTCGAGTCCCCAGCCGCGCTCCCTGCTCAGGGCCGGCGAAGGACCCCGCACCGCTGTTCCGGCGCCCCGCAGGGCTTGGCCCCGCGCTCAGTGCGGGGAATGCGCGTTGGGCCGATCGGGGTTAGAATGTTAGGTGTTCGGGACGCTCCTCCGTTTCATGGTTTGGGGCCGAGCTCCTGAGGCTTCCGAGCCCCAGGCGGCTTTGAGGACGTTGCCGCGCCCTAGGGAGGCGCGTCTCCCGGGAACCCACCCCAGCTGCAGGTCGCAGGGGCGCGCGTTCCTTTCCGCGCCAGAACTCCTCTCCATGCTCGCCCCGCCCCTTCTTCCCTTCGCCGGGCTCTGGGTGCCTCCCACCCACCCCGTCCCGCCCGGGGGGGAGGGGTGCTGGGACTGTTGCTGGGAGTCGCCCCTCCCACCGCGGATCTACAGAGTCAGGAGCCCAGGGAGTCATTCTTCTAAGCCCATTTCCAGCCTGCACTAAACAGCTCTCAGACGAGGCTTAGAGAGCATGGGGGTGGGGAGTGGGGGCAGCCCGGTGGGTTCCTAGCTGGGAGCCCTTCGCGTCCTGGCCCCAGCCGGGAGAGGATGCGACGGGAGGGAAAGGAAGCAGGTGAGAATGCGAGATAGCTGGCCGAGGCTCTGATCAGAACTGGGGTGTATGTGAGTTTTTAGAAGGCAGATCAGGCTGCTTCCTTTGCCTCACACCCCCTCCTGTGCCGCCGTCTAAACGCAGCCAGGGCCGGAGCGAGCGCCCGAGGAAGGCAGTGAGGCTAGGCAGGGCTCTGGGAGAACTGCCTGACAGTGGTCGTGCCAAAGGCGGCCGGGTGCGGTCCACAGCACCGGGTACCTGCCAGTCCCAAGTGTGGGAATGCTCTTGAATGAACTGACCTCTTTCCCCAAGGTTAAAACTCTTCCTTGCATTCATACCCCTTCTGTGTGGACATGGTGTTACCTGTGTACTCAAATGCAGATGGATTGGGACCATGACTAATAGTTCGTCTTGCATAAGCCATTGGCCTAACTGACATAAAGGTCAGAGGGAGAAAGTGCTGTAAATGCAAGGAGTTTGCTTCTGTTTCCTGGAAGGCGGGCTCCTCCTCAGCACCAGTGGGACTCCCTGGCCTGCCTTCGGAGGTGGGGTCCTCTGGAGCAAAGATCGCTCTGGGTCTCCCTTTGGGGACAGGGGTTCCCCATCTCTGCATCTCATCACCACTTTTATCTCCCTCGTCACACTTGAGATTTTCTGGGGCCTGCAGCTTCGTATCCCCTGTCCTTACAGGGTGTGCCGCTGGGTAGCGTGTAGTGAACAGTGCGTCTCGGTGCCTGTTTGCAGGATAATGTTGGATGAAGCCGTAGGATGATGGGTCAGAGTTTCTTGAGGCGCTTCGAGCTCCATCTCCCCTCTGGGGGTGCCCCATGGCTCCGTGCTGGCTGTTTGCCAAAGACAACGGTGTCTGAATGGGGTCCCGTCCCTGGCCAGTTCCACACTATCAGATCACTTCCGGTGTGCGCTCCTGCCTTGAATTTTTACTCTGGTATGTAACAATAAAAAGAAGAACCTCAAAAGGCATCTCGGCTGAAACTCCGTGCTGTCCACTCAGTCCAACCCTGACCTCACCCTCAGAGGCCTCGCCCTGGCCTGCAGTCTTTGTGGGGGACATCCTGCACACCTTTCTGGAGCTCAGGGGGCTGTTTCCAGGGTTGCGAGGCCTGCCCCCTGGACACGTCGCCGCCACCTCCGACCAAGTTTCTCCTTTGTGGGGAAATGCAGGCGCCTCGCTCCTTCCTTCACACGCGGAGCTGTGTCTTTGGCGGCGGCGTTGTCCTGAGCCGCGCTGGCCAGCTGAGCCTCTGTGTTGCTGGAGGTCTCTCCCGGCCTGTCGCTGACGGTCACAGCCCGAACCCTGGCAGTCATGTCCCTGTTGCTTGTCCATGCAGCTTATCCAGGGCTTGACACATGATGTGTAAGCCTGAGCATTTAAAAAACTTATTAATCGGAAAACATTTAAAAACAATGTTAACTGATATTTATTGCGTCCTTAATGTGCAGCCGGCGCAGTGAGAGCCACTCACCAGCCAGACCGTGTTGAGTCCTTGCCAGCACCCGCGGGGCAGGCGGGTCCGCAGTGCCTGTTTTTCAGGTGAGGCACCGAGGCTCAGGGAGGTTTCCATCCAGGCTCACTGCTGGCCAGGGGCCTGGACTGTCTTCTCGGGGCAAAAACGAATCCGGGGAGTGAGGGCAGAGAATGGTGCACTGTGGGGCTGGGGCAGGGGGCGATGTGTCGGGTTCAGCATGGGACCCTCCCTCCTGGTCCTCTGTTAGTGAAAACACAGATGATTAGTTTCTCCGGTAAATAAAGCAACCCCCCACAGATCTTTCTTTTCTCTTAATCACCGTTGGCTAGAGAGTGCCCCTCCCAGAAAATCACAGTTTTCCTGCCTCAGAGCTGGGAAAATAGTTATCAGCCTGTCAGTGCTCGTGAGAAATGTGGAAGTTTTGAGCCAGCTTGGATGGTTGCCCTGGCCGGTCCCACAGTGCCCAGAGCCTGTGCCTCTACCACTCTGGTCCTTAAAGGGTGTCAGGAACTACCTGGCCCCCAACTTTTGTTGCTATGACAACCTTTCTTCTGGGTTCTGTGACCATTTTTAATTTATTTTTTACTTGAAGAGAAAAAATGCCCCAGTAAACCGTGGAAAAATCCTGCCTTCTGCACCCCCTGCCTTCCGCACCCCCTGCCCCCCTGCTCCCCCCCTCCCCCGGGAACACTGATGATCAACTTCCTTTCCTCCTGTCCAGGAAACTATAGGGAATTTTACCTTCACTGAGTGAGAACACCAGCCACGAAACCCCAGCCTCTCCGCGAGCAGCAGCTGCTAAATGTTCCTTCCTCTCAAAGGCGTGTTTGGTAATTTCTATCTGTGCTCAGAAAAAACTCTCCCCACTCCGGGCAGCCACGGGGAAATCTAAGGAGCCCCTTTTCCCCACACTAAAAATCCACAGTGTTCACAGAGAAAACTGCAGCCTGTCCCAAACAGACACAATTTCACCAGGCCCGGCACAAAGGAACCTTTTTTCCTTCCTCCAAGAAGGAGCATCAGCTTCCCTCCACAAAAAGAAAGGGAAGTGTGGCTTTGACACAGAATTACTCCAGCCCTTCACGCAAATTGTATTTCTCTCTGGTGTGGATGCTCGGAAGGGTGGGGTGGGTGCAGATGCAGGCAGCCTGGGGGTGCTCGGCAGGGTAGCGGCTTGGGGAGGGACAGTGGTGGGCAGACAGGGTGGCCAGCGGGGGGGGGGTGCTAACTGGAAGCGCAAGTAAGTTGATGGTGACTGGAGAATGGACGAGGGGCCAGGGACAAGGAGGACTCCTGAGGATGGCTGGAGGGAGGTGGGACGGGGTGGCCAGAGGTCCAGGAGAGCCATTATGGGAAGCAGGAGCATGCTGCTGGGGGCTCCGACTGGACTCTAGACCCACTCCCTTCCCTGCACTGGGTGCAGCAATGCCCACTCTCTCCAGTGAAGGATGGACTTCTCCCCAGGGTAAGGCCAGGCTTTGCTTTTTTTAGTGGTGTGGGTTGGGCAAGACCTCAGTTCGGGAGTCGGAGCAGTTAGTCCTGTTCCAGGTGTGAGGGTCAGTGAACCGGTGCAGGGAAGGTGGGGAGCCCCTGCCGGGTGAGTGGGTGCACCCCACCCCTGCACGCTGCCCCTGTCGGAACCACTCACATCTCCCTCCTGTGCACGCCTGTAGCGGCCGGGCCAGGCGGTGGGCCTCCCAGCTCTGGCCATTTTCTCCTTGGTCTCCTCCACGCAGCATCAGAGCAATCATCAGATCCCGTTCCTCCCTCGCACAGCCTCTCCAACAGTCTCCTCAATTCCAGAGTCAAAGCCACGGTCTCTCTTGCCAGAAGGTGGTCCTCAGCCCCTCCCTCGATACAGCTTCTCTTAGCTCTCACTCTCCGTCTCCCCAGCCCCCACCCTGGGCCACCTCTCCGGCCATATTGGCCACCAGCACCAGGCACACTCCTGGCTTTGGGGCCTTTGCACTGGCCCTTCCCTCTGCCTGGAATGCCCTTTTCCCAAATGGTCACAAGACTACTTCTGGAAACTTCTTTAAGTCATTGCTGAGCTCTCTCCAAACACTGGAATCAAAATTGATCTCCCTGTACATTCCCTGCTTAATTTTTCCTCCAGCACGTGCCGCTGTGGCCCTTACCTTCCTGCTCCTTGTCTGCGTTGTGTGGCACACCAGCCCCGTGCAGGTGGAGTTGGGTCCATCTGCGTTGTCCCTGCTGCTGCACGCAGCAGGTGCCCAGTCAACAGTTGTGGGAGGAACGTTGCTGGTTGTCAGCACCGGCTGAACCCAGTTCTTTCCCTGGCTCTAGTGTCTTCCAGACTCAGTGAGGCCGGGGCTGTCCCGGGACTCCTCCTCCTGTCCACGGGCGGGGGTGGGGGGGGTGGGGGGGGCAAGCGAGTGCTGGGCGGGCTGCTCCCTCTCGGGAGGGGATGGTGCCCAGCTGCCTCCCTCACCTTTCTCGCTTCTCTTTTTTTCAGAGAACCCCAGCTTTTCTGCCCCATTGCCTTGAGTTACTCTGGGTACACAGTGCTCGCCGAGGTGCCGCCCTGTGTCAGAGGCTGCCCACCTACGGCGCCGGGTCCCATCCAAACTCTCTGTTTGGCATGTCTTTGTATAAACTGCCAACGTTTGGAAATTGACACGCTTCACAGAAACATTTGGATTTATGGTTTTTGTCAAAAAACCTGGCAGACCTGTTGGCGCTGGGCTCAGGTGCCTGTGGGAGCCCAACTCCGCCCACAGCGCTCCGTCGGCCCTCGCTCGCCCCGCCTCCTCGCTGCTGGCCCCTCCCGACACCTTCCAGGGCTCGGGCCCCACACCGCCTCGCCTCTCGCCTCGGAGTCAGAAGGTCACTTTCCTCCCA